CATTCTTTGCATCACCAAGCAAATGGCCTCACTGCTTACTGAATGCTTGTTGAGGGGAAAAAATTTAATTCAAAAACCAATTAACTTTGCCGATTACTATGTAAGCTGAAGTGAATCATGATTCTTTTAGTAAATGGAGGTGTGAGCATCTCCACGATTAAGAACTATTAAAATCACAGCAAACCATGGTTTAGAGACTACCTAATGACTACTTTCTTCCACYGTTTAGGATAACAGAGAAAAGCAGGGGGTTGGTGGTGTCCTCTAGTAAAGAGAACCAGACAGTATGAAGCCAAGTTCTCATGTTAATACATCTTATATTATGGGATGCCAAACTATTTCCCAAACTTTTGACCTGCAGAACAGGAGATGGCTTACCTCCCTTTAATTTCAAGTTTGTTTTACAAAGCTTTGAAAAGCAAAACAAATAAATTCACTTTTGGATATAATAAAAAATTAATCTGAATAGCAATTAAAGGTAGAGTGTCCATTTTAAAAAACTAAATCTACATTAGGAAAACTTTTCAAACAATAATGCTTTATATTAAATTCTCCAGAAGTAGTCGAAATGAACATCTACCCTAATTTCTATGATAGAACAATTTATTTATACCAATTAATTTGCTTTTCTGTTTCACTTAATCTGCAGTGATTTAGTTTCCCCAAAGGGAAACCCCAGCACCCTCAAATATTTCTGAGAAGTTACTCAGAGTGGGATGCACAAAAATAGGGCTCCTGGGGCATGTATTGCTGTCACTGTTGGGCTGTATTTCAATACTTTTACTCTAATTCACACAGTTATTTCATGAGGATGTCAGGATGGACTGGTTTAGTTGGCTTTGGATAAATGGACCAGCATGCCTACCTGGAAGATGACTAACTCTAGATCAAAAAACAAAACAGAACAATGTTTACAACTATGAATCTTCACAAACCCKCTCTCCTAACAGTCAAACCAGGGAAGCGTGGGGACAAGGAAGGTACACAGGAGCACAGCCCAAGGGAATCTTGCAAAATGCTTCTTGAGACTCATCAGACAACCCTCCTGCAGTGCCAACTTATTTCCCAGGAAACTGCCCATCTTGGTGTTTTCACATCCCCAATTTTCTAAGCACAAAGATTTAAAAGTTAGCGGGGAGGCAAGATTGTGGTTTTACAGAATCTGGTCAGATTATCAGTCCCACTGGCCAATGCAGTATGTCTTACTCTCAACTCACTGATTCAATTCCTCCCTCAACAAGCTCAAATCCATCTACTCCCTCTGCTTGCAGTAGTGACCTAGCAGCTCAGAGGTCAACTTCCCAGTTTTGAAAACTCTTTTGAGAAGTTGCAGATGTTTAGAGGAGTCGTTTCATTTTAGTGCCCTATTAGCCTGTCTCTCCTCATGAATTTACTGATCTCTTCTCTTGATTCAATAAGCACCAAACAATGAAGGTCTTTTCCCCTTCATCCTCCCACTTCTCAGTTCTGTGAACTGACTTTTTGTCCATTACCACATCAATCTCTTCACTACTCACTTCAAAACCTCTCTTTTGAAGTGATGTGCTCTGTCAAATTRAAATACATTATCTGTTTACAAGGGAATGTACAAAATAATAGGGGTCCAGGTACAAAACACAGTGACATTATGGCCATACAAAATGTATAGAAGTACCCAACATTAACAATTTTTAAAGTTGTACATTTTGCTATTTCTTTAGCATTTCCCCACATTGTTTTCTTCTGTGGATCCTGTGGAGTTAAGACCGAGCTCCTTCTGCTGTGTTTTGTAATTTATCGCATGACTAGTACATACCGAGGGAATTCATTTTCTGTCCAAAGCAATGAGTGCTGTACATGAACATTTTCCTCACATATAATGTTATTAAGTTTATTTACAGTGTAAGCTTTCTGAGCTAAGGGCTGAGATGTGATTAAAGGCTTTGCCATACTTATCACATTCAAGAGGTTCCTCTCTGGAATAAATTCTCTGACATATATGTGAATCGTCCTACATATCAAACATGTCACTCTCTCCACACATTTAGTTTTACCTTTATGACTTTAATTTTAATTAAGTGCCTTAAATACCAAAAGGTCTCACATATCTATATTCTCAAGTTTAGCCTTGCTTGTCAGGCTGGAGTAGAAACAAATACAACCTGAATAATTTTACTTCTCTTCCTGGCAAGGTTAAGGTGTATCTTTAAAAACTTCAAAAAAGTCCCATTAGGTCAACTAGCATGCTGATGGTCAGCTATAGTGTACCAACTGTTAACAGACTTCACCCAGTAAAGAACTTTTGAATGTCTATCCTGAGCACTAATTAGATTTTGCCAGAGTTTTTGACCATGGCCCAATGACACCTCTGCACTGAGCATCTGATAAATGAATGCAATGCAAATGGTTTTAATAACTAGTTGTAGCCTGTTCTCGGGAAACAAACACTCAAATTGCTGCCTCTAAGAGTGCATCTGCCAAAGATCTGAAGCAACCCCAGTAGCTATCCAACAGCCAGAAGAACATCCCAATAAAATGGGAGCCAAATGAAGGGGCACAGGTCATATTTAAATTTCACATAAACAAAATCCCAAAATGACAGCTGAATTTTGTCAGCATGTAGTGGGGGAAGTGGRGGCGAAGCCAATGTGAAACTGACCAAAGTCCTTTCCCTCTTAAGAACAAAGGCAGAGAGYTTGGAATGGATGCCTGGAATTGTGCACTTCATTTTGTTGCTTTCAGGGGACAAAAGTCCTCTCAAAAGCACCAGCAATTTTCTAGGCAACCACCACTGTGGCTCATTCTTTGAAGAAAATTCTTGATGAATTTCTACTTTCATTTCTCTACAGAAAGTGAATTAGATATACTCTTCTAGAATATATCATTTTTTTAGCTGGATGGATAGAAATATTCTGGTAACTGGCTGACTTATTTTACGTGGTCTCCCCGGTCAACACTGAAGAAACTGCTTAGAAGCTACAGAGAAGCTGCGGTTAGTCCAAGTAAGAAAGCCAAAGAGAGACCAAGAATGAATGCTGTGCAGAATTCTAGTGTGGTCTGGAGCTGAGCCCATACATGCCTCCATCTCATTGGTTCCACCATGCTATCTCGTGGATTTTTGCTGCTGGTCAGCAAATGACTGATAAATGCTAGTTTTATTGTTTCTTGAGGGAACATCTCAAATTGAAGTGGGGTTTTCCTGTTACAGGGTGTTCATGCTGATGGTCTTCAGATTTGTTTTTAGCCGGTTTCTAGCTTTCTGCAGGGCTATCCATGGCCATCTGAAAGCTCTCATCTCATGAACAGAGCCCTCTCTAACCAAACCCTTGATAGCGTCACAGTCCATGATATTTGGGTCCCTTGTGTATGTGAAACAGTCTCCATCAGCAGCTTCTAGAGAGCCACCTGACTTGAGCTGCACAAATGGAGATAATAATTCCATAACCTCACTTCAGTCTTTAGTGATGAGTAACAAAAAAAGATACCGTGCACTATGACTATGACACAATCAACCATTTCTGATATACTATCAGTGAACTGCTCAGAGCAACGAACTACCTTTCATAATTGCCTGCTAATGATGGTAAGTTCTTTTTGAAAGTTTCTGGAAAAGTGTGGAAAAAATGATCCCTTTTCTTTTTCTGAAAAGCAACAAAACACATCTTCTGAACTATAATATCTTAAGTTACAAACAATTCAGAAAGTGCCCAAATCATCATATTGTTCAGCAGCCGACTGAAGAGAATTCTGGCTAAGATCTTTGCCATGGAAAGATGTCAAAAAATGACCTTAGTCAGTGTTCACATTTTCCTTAAGATGGTATCAATGTAGTAAATTTCTGACATTCCGTAGTATTTATTCACCAATCCATGTTTAGAAAGTCTATGCAGGCAGCTAATCAGTGCCTTCGTTTATGTTTAGGACAAAAATAGTATTGGCCCTAGAGGGCTTAGCATGCCATGTGGCTGTGAAGGTCCTCTTTCAAAGTTGGGCCAGGCTACCCTATTTCAGGTACTCATGATTCACAGGGCTTTATCATAAATATGAAAGTCCTGTTAGAAGTCAGATGTAGGATATAAGGAGTGCCTCTTTATGGGTTYAGCACTAGGTACAGTGCCGGGCTGTCAGGAACATAACTATATCCCTTGACAACCGTAGCATCTCTTTTGGGGAATGAATAAAAACTTCCATATATGAAACAATGAAGGATTAAAAGTCAGTATATGATCAAGTGCTAACTTGTGGAGAAATGCATTTAGGAGTGCTAGAGTGCTTTAGGGACTTCAAGAAGGGAGAGAAGTGTTTTGAATTGTTGTTGCTGTTTCAGGAGAACTGATCTCAGTGATGAGGATAGAACCATCTACATTTGTTGCAGTCCTTTGGAACTGTAGACTGGTGCACGTACCCTCTCTTTCAGGAAGAGATAGAAATCTTTGGTTTGATACTGATCAGCACAGTCCTAGATTTCTATAGCTTTGGTAGGCTACCAGTGATCAGCTATATAACTTATGGGATATATAACTAGCTTGAGCAGCAGCATGTCCCCATGTAGTTTTTGTTTTAACTCTCTCTTTTTTGAGAAATAAGCAAGATATTGGCCAGGTAGGGCTTGTTTGCAGCAAGTGGTTTCTTAACTTCAGAAGCACATTCACAGAGCCAATCTTGTTCTTTCAATTTATGCTGTGGTTGCTGTGATTCAAAGAGCTCCTTAAAGGTATCCTCATTACTGAAAAGCTTGAYGTTTTCCTGTGTGTGTGCTTTTATCTTATGTGGAAATATTGTATGGATTACCCATCTGACCAGTTTTCCCTGCAGGGGCTGTGTGGAAGAATTATCTGCCCACAGACAACACAAAGGCAGAACACTGCTGATGTAACTCTAAGGATCCTTAATCATAATTAAAAAAAAAAAAATCTGTTGAGGCTGTTTTTTTTTCCCCTCAATGGGCACACATTTCTGAAATAATTTTAGAAACAAAAGGGGGAAATGGCTTGATGACAAATTCTTGCTCTACACACAACTTTTGAGAAATGCTCCAAATGCATCCAGGGAGGCTGGGCTATACTCCAAGGCTCGCTCTCTGGCATGGATTCTGTGATGCAGAGTGAGGGTTGAGCTCCGGGTGAAGGCCTTGCCACACTTGGTACACTTGTAGGGCTTTTCTCGGGTGTGGATTCTCCGATGCAAAATAAGGTACGAGTTTCGGTTGAAAGCTTTCCCACACTCACTACATTCATAGGGTTTCTCCCCTGTGTGGATCCTCTGGTGCTTGGTGAGGTCTGAGCTCTGGCTGAAGGCCTTCCCACACTCGTTACATTCATAGGGCTTCTCTCCAGAGTGGATGCGCTGGTGCAGAATGAGATTCGAGCTGTGACTGAAGGCCTTGCCGCACTCGTTACATTCATGAGGCTTCTCTCCTGTGTGGATTCGCTGATGCAGGACAAGGTTTGAGTTGAGACTGAAGGCTTTCCCACACTCACTACATTCATAGGGCTTCTCTCCAGTGTGGATGATTTTATGGCGGATAAGGCTTGAACTTCTTGTGAAGCATTTACCACATTCATCACATCTGTGAGACTTTGCTCCTGTTGGAACCTCTTCAGGGGTATTAAAGTTTGAACTCAGACTGAAGCTTCTTCCCAGCCCTTTTCCCTTCTCCCTYGGACCTCTCTCCCCCGTGGTAGGTTTTTTTTCCCTGGCTGTAGTTGGACCTGACTCTCTCTTCTCTTTTCCAGTTTTCTCCTCAGGGTTTCTCTGCTGCCTTTCTACTACTCTGCCCTGATGTTCGCGTTTCTCTCCAAACTCTTTCTGAAATCTTCCTGCTTTCTCCCCATGTGATGCTGAGTCTTCTGTGACTTCAGCTTTTGAGGTCGACTCCTTGTTCTCATTTCTGGTTTCACAACCTGGCACAATAAATAGAAAATACAAATAGCACCTTTTCCTTTTGACTACAAAGATTAATCAAGTGACATTATTTTCCAAGAAGCTTCTATGCCTGCAAAATGACTTCACAGTATTAATCAAGGATAAAAAGAAAAAAAATAAGGAAAAAATTGGGACAATGTGGAGTAGAGTTGGAAAATGAGAGGGCAAGCAGAGTGGAAAGAAGAGAAAATAAAAGGGTACATGCAGAGAGAACATGAAATAAACAGGCACAGTGGGGAAGGGGCAGAGGGAAGAGAAACCAGTTAAGGGTGAGATAAGGAATTAAAGGAATTTGGAGGTCATAATTCTACTATTTGATTCCCGGATAATTAATTTAAAGGAATACATATTGAAAAACTCATGTTCTATTTACAGCAAATATTTGTAAGTTTTTTAAAAATGAGAATATACAGGTCTTTCTAGAAAATATTAGCAGAAAGGAATATAGTGAAAGAAAGAAAAGCAAATACTCCTCCAGTTCTGTTGGCATTTTCTCAAAAAGGTGGTGGTTAACAGGCACAACTCAGAAGCTGGCAGGTCACAGGGCTCTTCACACACAGTGAACAGTCTCCTTCCACCAGGGGAGCAGCACAGAACTAGCTGTGCTCAAGTGATGGAGATGGAGTGAAGAGTGGTGGGGGCACTTGCTAGTAACAGAATTAAAAACCTTCACCAACTGACAACTGAGAATAATTGAAAAGAAACTGAAAATAATTCTGCACAGCCCACAAAGATACAACAATTTTCAAATGTAGAGCTAACCCCTTCATTTTAGTAATTAAGTGTATTAAAACACTAAAGTTTAATTTTTATTGTACGTTGCTATACTGTTTGTGTCATGTTGCTTTTAGTTTGTTCTAAATATATTTTTAAGCTATAGATCCTTTGTTTTCTTCATTTATTTTTATATGGTGCTGAGGATCAAACTCAGTGTCTCACATATGCTAGGCAAAGTACTCTACAACCCCGGCCCTGTCATGTTGCTTTTAAAAAGTGAAGACTGCAAATTATATAACAGACATACACAATTTTATGTTTACATTTGTCTGGGAAAACCCAAATATCTCTATTCTTTATTTATTTGGCTTTAAGGGTCTATGTATCACAACAGGCCCCTGAAGGCAATGATGGGGGAGCTAAATMATATTCAGCTTCTGACTTTAGTGATGAAACTACCATAAATACAGAACTAATTACAATGAAGAGGAAATTGGTATACATTTTGACTTCCAAATGAACATCATTCACTGTCTGGCCAGTTCCCAGAATGTTACTAAAAGTTTTTTTTTCAAGTTATCAGAGCAAGTAACAGCTAATAAAACAGATCAAGTCTTTGGCTTAATTTCCATCTAGAACAAAGAGCAAGTACCTAGAAACTACAAAGCCCAGCTATATCTATGGTTTTAAATAAAACCTGAGTTTTTTTAGTGATACTCTATGTTCACCCTTTGCTCAATATTCCTGTCCTCCCAAGATAAAGTCTTGCTGTGAACTTCCCTATTACTGTACATATCTAAGGGTTCCTTGGTGGCACTAACTCCTAGGGGTTAAGATCTAGCAGAGACCACATGAATGATTGGCAGCTGGATCACCTTGTCTTATCTGTCTGATGCCCGTTGCACTTCTTTATTCACTACACACTATTACTCAAGAGCTCTTTGTGGAAGACCACAATTTGTTTTGGAAAACTGGGAACCTGATCCTGAGAGAGCTTCAGGTGCAAGTTAGTGGGATAATGTAAAGTTGTCTCCAAGCAATGCTCTCACAGAATGGAAGAAGACAGAAGCCCATAGAAGGGTGCCTGRTAGGTTCAGGTACAGCGTGCCAGGACAAGGGGCTGGGATTAGACTGATAATCAGATACTTGGCCATCTCTACCAGGAAAAAGATATTCCCTTGACAGAGGAACCTAAAGTGTGGCCCTTGGGGAAGGGAACCGAAATTCTCTCAAGTAAATGAGTGGTTGAAGAGATGAGGCTCAGAGCACAAGAGTTGATTTCTGATTTCAAAGAGCAAAAATACACTGGGAATCAGGGAGTCACAGTACTATGCTTTTGGAGTTCACTAAGCACAAAGGTTCTCCCTGCCTGTTCTGAAGAAAGATAGTCAGTAGCCTTAAAAATCCTTATCAACACTCAACTGAATATATCAGAGAGTTCCCACAACTAACAGAGAAGCAAAACAATCTTATCAGATAACAATCCTGCATCAGTCTTACCCTGGGAAAACACGTTCCCATAATTCTCCTGCCTGCTGTCCCTATTGAGATTCCTCCGAGCCAGGTTCTGACATCCCCATTCCTCCAGGATGAGGGACACGGCCATGTCCTCGATCTTCACCATTGCCTGAAATAACAGGAGATTCCCCACACTCAGTTCTCCCAAATCTCAGGGACAGTCCCATTGCCCACACCTAGAGTCAGGGACAGAGTTGATGGCATCTCTACAGGACACTGGTGAAGAACATGTGACCAGAGCTTTGTGGGCTTGAGGGGGTTTGCAGCAGCAAGAACTAACAAAGAGGGATAGTGGGGCTTCTCTGTGGTAGGGCATCAAGAATGACTGCCTGGCAGAGACTGTAAGAGGAGCTCCAGGAGGAGAAGGCAGTTATGGGGACTCAATAGGGCAGAGGGGCCCATAGCTCACCTGGGAATCTGCTGTCAATAGTGCAGATGCCATCGCCTGGTCTCTGGGACTCCCCTCGTGATGAGGGGCAGGAACGTGAGTGGCAGGGAGAGCTGAGGGAGGAGAAAGGAGCTGTGAGTGAATCAGCTCTGCTCAGAGCCTCCCTTGATGGCCTGAAGCGCTCTCACTTCTGCACCAGCAAGTTCACTGTTCCGTGTTTAACTACTGAGTAGAGAGCTCCAGAGAACATAAATGAAAGAAAGCAGGACCTGAGTTTTCCTGAGACCTCTACTTTTAAGCAAGTCACAGGAGTCATAAAAGTGCCTTAAAATCACCTGGTCCAAACCTTCCACTTTAAAAAGGGGGGAACTGAGGCCCGGAGAAGGTGAATAACTTTTCTAATGTCACTCAGGAATGGGGGAACCAGGTCTGGAACCTAGGGAGGACTCTAGTCTCAGCTACAGAATGGGTAACATTCAAATCATGTTTCAAATCTGACTTACACTTTCCTCTAGCCTAAGGAATAGTACCAGGATATTAGAATCCCATTTGTGCTTACGTTTGTAAAAAAATGCAACCTAGCTTTAAAAATCTGACATAGTAATATCTAGAAAAATAAGGTAAGACAGGAGTCTTCTTACCTCTAGGTAAGTTTTGCTATGTTTGTCCCTCTACTTTTCTCACACTTGGTTATAATAAAGTTTTAAAATAAAATATATACATGGTTCAAATGTTGATGAGACATTTATGAATGTATGAGGTATGGGATGACATACATAATAAAAGACATCCATAACACATCATATGATCACAACGSCTGCAATGTATAAAAATCAGAAAAAAATTTAAATGATAAAAGTAATATTAAGCTCCTTCTTTCCTCCCCTTGCCAAGTACTACTGAAATGTTACTGGTAGACAGATGAAGGTACTGAGCCACAAAGGTATTAATTACAGAAATGATTTTGAAATTGAATTACTAAACCCTGTAATTATTTCCAATTGTAAAATAACAAGAGCTAACGCAAAGTACACAAAAATATCAAGAATCTTAAACTGAAATCTTTGGAGAGTAAGGAAACACTGAAGATGAACAAAGGAAAAACCGAGAATAAATGTCTCAAGTCTTTCAAGAATGATTTACTAAGTGACAACTCTATGCATTGGGTCTCTAAAATTGCTTCTCTGGCAACCTGAAGTGCTAATTTAGTGGGCTGACCACTAATATCTTCTCTAGTTTCCTAATGTCACTCTCTATGACTTCTACTTATGGAGTTTAAAGATACCCCACAAGTCCTGGAAGGGTATATTTCAACATCAGTGCATGGGTCTGTGTGGATTTCTCCAGCATGTCTGCTGATTGTGCTCTAGGATGCATGGGAAAGAGAACATCCCTTTAAGCTCCATGATCTAATATTTCCACCCTAGATGTCATCAAGAACACACACACTGGTTAAGTAATGTGTCTTGATCAACTTCTTGAATTATGTACTTTTAGCATTTCATTGATTTTATTGACATACGTACCTGCTTGATTCTAAATTTGGATAAAGATATATTTCCCTCAAAGGAAAAAAAATGAAACAGATTTTTAAAATAAGATCCTCAACTGATTTTTTTTATCATTTGCACAACTAAAAAAAWGTTTTCCTCTGTTTGAAATTTTCAAAAATAACAAAAGAGTCATGCCATATGGTATCTTTATACATTTTAAATGAGTCTTTTAAAAGATTTATGTTCCTTTTAAAAATAATTTAAGACATAAGAATGTTTCAAAACCTAGCTGGAAGTGTATCATCTGTTCCCAATATTTGACTACAAATCTGCATGAAAAAAAATAGAAATCTGCCAGACATCTTGAAAGCTAACAAATCAATAAATAATGTTATGTCCGCCCAGTTCATTATGCAGTTTACTTACCTCTTACCATATTTAACTCCTGACACTGATCTGAGTTATACTTTCCTAATATTTAGTGACAACGACAATTATACATAACAATAAAAAGGATGCTTCTTTACCCAGGCACTTGACAACGTGGGTAGGGCAATTCCATGTTGGAACAGTTGCTTCTCACTGCATGAAACCTTGCTTCTTACCTCGGGACTGCAAGAGCCGGGGCTTCCGAGATGAATGCTTGAAATGGGACTGGGAAGCCTCATGATGAAGGTCAAAGCTTGAGGACTCCTGAACTGGATCCAGAGGCACCATCCCTCTGGCAAGCATCTCAGGCCCATGAACTTGACCTGGGACCTGTAGATAATCAGGTTGAACTTGTGGGTAAATCATTTTTAAAATGTTAAAACAAAGACCATAAATATGTGAGTAGCTGCAAGAGGAGGTCAGTACACATATTTTTGGGGATTGCCACAGACTGAAACTGGAGCCTCATGAATCACAAACACATGTGTATTCTAGGGGGTGTAAACCTACACYCCCAGTCCCCAAATACTTTGTAAGAGCCCAGGAGAGCAGGAAGAATAATCACCACAAAGACTCTTAACATGAGTATTAAATCAGTGATTTTCTCCTAGCTCCAAAGTCCATGCTCTTCTCACACCAACCTTACCTGCTGTCCTGACAGATCAAGCTCCAAGTCTTCCAGAAGGGTCACAGCCTCCTCTCCACTATCGGGCCTGTACTCCTGCAGCCATACTTGAAGCTCCTTAGGCAGAATGGAAAGGAACTGCTCCAGCACCAGCAGCTCCAGGATCTGCTCCTTGGTGTTAATTTCTGGTCGCAGCCACTGATGACAAAGTTCTTTTAGTCGACTTAGAGCTTCTCGAGGCCCAAAAGTGTTCTGGTAACAAAACCGCCTGAATCGCTGGCGGAATATCTCTGGGTCAGGAGGAGGTGTCTCCTGCAGATTGGAATCTTGCCCCCACATGTGATCGTCTTCATCTTCCTCTTCTACCTTCACTATAACAATCCCATCCTTCTCCTGTGCAGCCTGCGGGGACAGACCTGTTGCTTCCCTTGATTCAGCAGTCATCATTCAGGYGCAGGGAACTGGCGTGATGAAAACCAGGTCTGTGCTGGCTTTTCTGTCCTAGAAGATGCTTTATATTTGTTTCTGTACTATTCCTGAAGTATTGAAAAAAGTTATTAGCACTTTTATAGAAATGACCTGTACTAATCTTCACACCAGGCTACACATCAAGAAGGCACTTAAAATGCCTCTGAGGCTGGACACTGTGGCACATGCCTGTAATCCCAGGGATTTGGGAGACTGAGGCAGGAGGATTCTGAGTTCAGGGCCAGGCTCAGCAACTTAAAAAGATTCTGCTTCAAAATAAAAAAAATTAGGTCTGGAATGTAACTCAGTGGTAAAAAGTGTCCCTGGGTTCAACTCCTAGTTAAAAAAAAAAAGGAAAGGAAAAAACCAACCAACAACCCCACAAAGCCACGCTGTCTTCACTGTCACTCCAGATATAAAGGTTTGCAAATAGAAAACTCAAACAGGCAACCTTCACCCCCAGGGTGTTTGCCTGGAATCAGAGCAACTTCCCTCCAGGTGGCCAGCAGGTTATGAAATGCTGCATTTATAGTGCTTACCCTGGAGAGGGCTGAGTTAGCAGAGTGCCAAGTATCAGGTTAAGCACGGTACATGCACAATCTTCTTTTGTCCCCACACCAACCCCAGCAGCATTATTAGTACCATTTGACAGATGATATAACCGAATCTTAAAGACAGTTTAAATTATTTTTTTGGTAGCAGGTGAATACCCAGTGTAGTCAACAGGAAGTCAAAATTGAAGCCCCAGGACTTGCTAATATATCATCTAGTGATTTCTATTACTTTTATGCGAAACCATCAATCATCCTCTCTTTTTTTAAGATGTAGATAGACACCTTTATTTATTTTTTAATGTGGTGCTGAGGATTGAACACAGGGCCTTACATGTATGAAACAAGCACTCAACCACTGAGCCACAATCCYAGCCCCTCTCCTGTCTACCTTTAACCTCACCTTCATAAAAAAGACCAGTAACTTGCAGAGACTACAATTAAGAGGAAATACTCATGATGCAAACACAAAAAAATGACACTTGAAGCTTCTATGGAGAGCAAGGTGTTAGTCGGATTAGATTGTAAAAACTAAAATCAATCTAAACAAAAACTCACCAGTGAGTGAGAAAGCAGCTGGCTTAAAAAAAAAGTGCAGTTAAGAACAATTAAGGGAATAGATACACAAGTGTTCCTATTATTATGTAATTCTAAGTGCCAAAAATGATACCAAAAGTATACTGAAAATATCTTTGTATATACAATCTTTAAAAACTTGGAACTACTTTCTAACCTGTTTAAAATCCTATAGACTTGAAAAAAGAAAAAATGAATAAAGCCCAACCTTCTGATTAATTTGCAGACTACTGAGTAAAGGTCATGGAAAATGAAAATGCACTCTCTGAATTTCAATAACAAATATTTAGTATGGATGGTGGTTTATGATTTATTGACCTGAACAAATGTGTGCGATTCTTCCACCTCTATAAACCTTTGTGAAGCATCTCTTTCACCTCCATAGCTATCAAAACTAAGCACCAGGACTGGAGCTGTAGCTCAGTGATAGAGCACTTGCCTAGCTAGTATGTAWGAAGCATAGGGTTGGATCCTCAGCAACACATATAAATAACTAAAATAAAGGTCTAAAAAATACATTAAAACAACAACAACAACAAAAAAAAACACCTAAGCACCAAATTGCAGTTTTAGAAACAGACCATCTAACTGCTGTATCCCAGCAAATTAAACAAAGTTTTAAACTAGCAAAGCATTAAACCCAGGGTCTTGAGCATGCTAGGGAGCACTCTGCCACGAAGCTACATCCCTAGCTTTTAGAAAAAAATCATTTTTAATTACACAGCTTGCCTAAAACATAATTAACAATTCTGGTGGAAAAGGGGTCATATACAATTAAGAACACAAAAATTGTTTTAGGGTAATTTAATAGCACAATTTCATACATTTTGTTTTATTATACAAAACAATGGTAGAACAGTGCATGTATGTAATTTTTATAGTTTCTACTGATAGGAATGTACAGTGGTCCCCCTTATCTGCTATTTTGTTTTCTGTGGTTTCAGTCACCTGCAATCAACTGTGGTCTGAAAACTTAAGATGGAAAATTAACAGAAATAAACAATTCGTTAAGTTTAAAACAAACTTTATTGCAACGTATTAATTACTCCATTTGTTATTATTGTTAATCTCACTGCACCCAACATAAATTAAACCGCATCACCTAAATAACAACATATATAGGGTTTAGTACTATACATGGTTGAAGCATCTTTGGTACATCTTCTCCAAAGATAAGGAGGGCCTGCTGTTTGGAAAGCAAAGTTTGGAGATGACCTCCCCCTCCCCCCGCCCCCAGAACTGGGGATTGAATTCAGGGGCATTAGACCACCAAGAGCCACATCCCTAGCCCTATTTTGTATTTTATTTAGAAATAGGGTCTCAATGAGTTTCTTAGTGCCTTACCATTGCTGTCGCTAGCTTTGAACTCACAATCCTCCTGCCTCAGCCTCCCAAGCCACTAGGATTATAGGCGTGTGCCACTGCACCTGGCTGAGATGACTGTTTTATCACAAAGATTATTATTTCAATCTTGAGAATTATCACAAGACTAGTTTTTCTACCTCATCTTTATGTCCTTAATTAATTTCTTCAATGATTTTTGAATTGGTAAATATCTTATTACAAACCATCTTCTAGTCTTTCCCACTGGTGCCCTCAGACCTGTTGTGCACCCCACCCTCCTTGCTGGGATAGTTGGTTTTCCAACTCCAGATCAGCTTTCCCTCAAAAGGCCTTTCAGCTGTAATTATTTCACTTCCTAAATAATCTTCAAAGTGTCCTGTAAATCCAAAGGAAATAAAAAGATGAGAAACATGATTCTTTTATGMAAATAATAAAAAAAGAATGTTCCAAGGTTTCAATACAAGTGCTAGGGGAGCCCTGAGAACTGACAGGTATACAAGAAAGGCACTTCCAGGAGGAGGTCCCCTAGAACATGGAGAATAGACAGGATGCTTCTGTAAGAGGCAGTGAGTGACTGGAGTTGCCCAAGATCATTCCTTTGGCTGGCTTTTTCCCAGCTGGAGGCAAAATGTTTCCCAGAAGCCATAATTTCTTCTTCAATTCATTATGAACAACAGAAAGACTCTCTTGCTGTGACTCCCAGAATTTCTTTCTACCACCTTAATTCAGGATCCCTATCTCACCTAGATTAGGACCTGGGCTCCATATAGCTTCTCTACCTCCCATTCTCCACTGTCCCAATACACACAACATACATACCAAGATTTGTGTAGTACTGCTACCAATTCAGTGTTCAAGAGCTTCCACTTTCACAACACAATCCACTTTTCTCTTCCAAGTTTACCCGCCTTGTGTTTCAGCCTCTGYGGTCCATCAATGCTCCCAAGCATGGGCCACATCCTTCACCTTCACTCCTCTGCTGTAAACATTCTCCCATTGTACCAACTCTATTGGTCGAATTTTTATTCATTGCTCAAGATGCACAAATCTTTCCTGATACCCCAAATTAAATAAGGTACCTTCTTCCTTTGAACACCCTTAGCAGTTTCTGTTTTAAGGCAATTATATTCTCATTATTTGAGTTGCAGTTCCTGTCTGTCACCTCCCAATGAAGCCCTCCACGACAAGGTCAGCGACTCCAGTCAGTCTTCTTTTGTATTTATTACCTAGGGAACCTGGTGATTTAATTCTATACAGATGTTATAGAATTAAACTGCACAGATGGACAAAAGGAACTATTCCAGTTTCCCTTTTGCCTTCTTACTACCTAGAGTGTGGCAATGAGTGATATTAATAGCAATTAGTAGATATTAGAGATGTTTGGCTAATATCTCAATCACTCAGGATCACCTTTGATTGCTTCCCTCATTCTAGGCATCCATTCTCCTTGCACCAGAGAGAAGTCTGTTATACTATTTGATCTAGTCTCACGACCTGCCTCTTCTTTGATTCCTTCATTTGCTCCCTACTCTCCCATAATTCATTGGCTACCTTATTCTCAGATTATTCATCCCAATTCTAGCCTTGCAGACTGTGTGCAAAAACCCTTCCCATCCAGCAAAATGAGTCTAATCAGCAGGTCTTGCTGATGCCCTGTGTTCTGGCAGCCACTGTTTCTTTGAATCATACTCAAAGGCTGGAATTTCCTCCCAGTCCTCTCTGCCTTTTTTCTTTTTGTGGGGCTGGGATTGAACTCAGGGCCCTGTGCATACAAGGCAAGCGCTCTACCAACTGAGCCATATGCCCAGCCCCCATTTCTGCCTTTTCTAATTCTACTTATTGTTCAAAGCCAAGCTGAAATGCCACTTGCCCCTCATGACTGCTTAAGAACCTTCTAGTAACAGCCAGCATTACTGAGTGCTTTCCAAATACCATTACATTAAGCACTTTACTTGACCACCCAACAATCTTAAGCAGTGGCCATAGTTATCACCTCACTTGATACAACTGAGGTTTTACTGACATTAAATAACTCACCTGGGGTTGCACAGCAAGTAAATGGCAGAGATAGGATTTGAAATTAACTCTGAGACTCTAAGTGTAAGCTATTAAACCATTTTTACATGTTGGATAAGGAAGGGCTTCTGGGTACATAGATTCTTTCTAAAAGAAAACACTATGAAGGTGATTATAAAGAGTGACTGCTCAGGAATAGGCCTCATCTACCATCCACTATTTTCACCTGAGTTACTGAGGCCCTAAGAGGGGACAAAGCGGCGATGGAAGTGGGGGATAACCAAGTAGTGGAATTAGTGTGGTAGCTAGTTAGACCAATTATCAGAAAGCTCTACTGTGAAAATTTTATCCTTGTTTCAGCTGTGGAGCAGGACACTGCTTGAGTCATTGGCAATCAAWAAGAAGAGACTCTGAGGAGGTTGTGAGACCACAGGGATGGAGACAAGGACAATGGGCACAATCCCAATCCCTCTGTTCCCAACTGGGACAGGTCTTCTTCTCTACCTTCAATATTTCTCTTCTCCTGCTCTGTGCCAGAGAAGAGTTCTGACAGCTGTGGAAAGGGTGAGTTTTTTCTCAAAGGTTCCCCAGATAACCTGAGCACACACCACTTCTTGTCAGCCTCTAAAGGCCCTAAGTCATGATCATAATTTCTTATGCTGCTTCTTTCTTTGTAATAGGATTTTTCTCGAGTTCCCCCTCAACCAGACTATTGTTAAGAATGTTTTTTTCCTACTTATGCCACTCAGCAAGATTCCTTGCAAAGCATTAGTTCCTTTTCTTTTCTTAAATATTTAAATTTAAATATTACTATTCCTTTGCCCCTTGTGCATTCAATCTTGCCCTCAAATTTGTTCTATAGGGTACTTGGAAGAATTTGGAAGACTTTGTTAACTTTTCCCCATTTACTAGTTGATCTTGCACGTTAACCTTGTTATGCATCAGTTTCCTCATCTGTTCAATGGGAATAAAAAATGACATTTGTCTCATAGAGCCGTTAGGATTACGTGAGTTAACATATATRGAGGACTTTTAACAGTGTCTGGCATCTAGTAGGCCCTAGAGACGTTTTAATTTTTAAAAAATAAAGTTAAGAGTTATAACTATATTCTAATTTTCAGCCTGCTTAAAAGATTAGCAATGGGAGAAATCCTAAAGCAGCACAGTCCAAAAAAAGTGAATGTGGTCTCCCACACAGAAGTTACCCACTCCTAAGTGAGTTATTTACCTTGTCTGACATTCAGTATTCTTATCAGTCAAATGGTGAGAGGGGTAGGAGTAGAAAACTACATTTGGAGTTCCTCTGAGATGAAGAAGATTCCACACACCATTCACTTGATACGATTACCTCCAGCAACCAATTTTCACCAAGGATAAAAAGGAACAATTTATCAAACACCTTGGGTTATTTATAAGCTCAGTTTATTTCAAAGGCTGTTTTCTCAATCTCCCAGTATTTTTTCCAGGGCATAGTCAAAGTTTCAATAATCTGCTCCTCCACCCCACTTTTTAACAGAGATATCAAATTGTTTAAAATATGAAAAAGCTACCCTTAAAAGACAACTTGGTATCAAAAAAATTGATTCTACTACAGAATGAAAATGTAACATTGAACATAATATTAGCCTACTTGTAGTCAGATGTAGTATAAAATATTGGAAAAATCTTTAAATGCTTAGGTCAAGCATTAGGTTATTCACCAGAGAATCAGCAAGAGATGACTTTATTAAGTAGGTGGCTTCCCTGTTTGCATTTTGAGGCTGGTGAAAAACTATCTGAAATAATGAACAAGAACTTGGAGTAGTGATGCAGAACGGATATAAACCTGGGAAAAACATTCTGGGGCAAATCTCCATTGTGGTTCCCTACCTAATAAAGCTATTTTTCTATACTTAGCAGGAATATACATTAACAGTGCTTTGTTGATGTGGTTACAATGAATTCTCCACAATTCAACAAATATTTATTGACCGCCTCCAATCCGCCTAGCACTGGCCGGTACAATAAATGCTTTCTTTGGTTCCAGTCCATGTAACAGCCACTCTCTATAATGAAAGTATCTTTTTGTGTACTGAAGGCACTGCAGGAAAGGGAGGGGAAGGTGGGGGGAGTGTCAGGCTAAACTGTAGCTGAATTTTTTCAATTCCATTGACCAAATCATTTCAAAGTTGGAAGGACCTTTTGAGAAAATCTAATTTTATGGATGACAAAATTAAGACACGATGTTTTGTCTTATCCAAGGTCACTYAGCGAATCAGTCTCCTAATGACTCAGTGTGATTTCCACAAATTCTCTTCATTCCTYTCCCACTCCAAGTCAAGCAGGATGAACTGAAAAATCCACCTAACCTGACGACTCATTTTTAAGAGCTTTTCAAGCATCCCATAAGCCTAAAAGAGAGCAGTTTGTCTATGATTCGCTACTAGGTCGTTATTCACCAGGCTTCAAATACTTTTTAATCACAGCTCAGTGTTGGGGGTGCGGAGGGGAAAGGATAAAAAGCAGGTGATCTGTAAACGTCTGCGGCATCTCGAAACGTGTCCAGCTCTCCGCCTTCCGCATTTTCACCTCAAGGTCCTCAAGGACCCAGAAGGAGGGGGAGAGCCAACCCCCAAACCCTTCACCGGAATCAAAGCAAATGGCGACAACCGGAGAGCAAAAAAAATCAGACAAGGGTCAGTTCGATAGCGACCCCATCCTCAGAAACGTCAAGTGAGGATGATGACACAGCGGGCTAGGGGCCCGGAAGGGGCCCTCACACGGCTTTTCCCCAGGTCTCCGAGCGACCCGGCCACTGAAACCCTGACCCCTTCTCGCCCGGTGCCGGGGGTGGGGCGGGGGCGTCTCCCCGGGAGATAGCGCTTCCTACGGCTGGGCCTGGGGAGGAGGCAGGGGCAGGGACTCGCTTCGCGTTCCGTCGGGGCCGCCGGAGGGGATCCCCAGGCCGCAGCTGGAGCGCCCACCCCACGCACACCCCCCTGCGGCCCGCCCGCCCTCCCCAGAGGCCGGCCCCAAGTCTCACCGTGTGCCCCGGGAGCGGCCTGGGGGCGCTGGGCGAGAAAGGGGAGCTGACTCTGGGGCTCAGGCCGGCCGAAGGGCACCGCACACGGACCTAGGCCCTCCCGACGCCTCCACACAGACACAATGAGTCACAAAGGCCGGATGTATGTCAGCACCTCGCCTTCCGGGACCGCGCTACGCTTCCGGGTCCGCTCTAGGAGCCTGGGAGGACTTTACATCTCGGTTCCTGGAGCTCTAAACCTGGCCCCTGTCCCTGAGTGGTCAAGCTGTCTGCGTTGAGGGGACTCCCCTTGGCCTGTCTGCTTCCAGTAATTAGGWGGACGAATGGGAGGGGCATACAGACTTTTCCTGCAGCAAAGATTCTCCAGCTCAAACATATGAGAATTCCATTTCTCCTGTCTTTTCCATTTCTGGTAGTCGTTGTAGTAATTATAGTTATTACCAAGCAATAATAATACTTAGTAATTTTGTGTGTGTGTAGTAGAGGAACTGAAGCAAGGGTGTAGACAGAGAAAGATCAAAGTGAAGCCAGGGGTGGCTGGTTTCAAGAAGCTGCCCTGGTAACTTCTCTCAGGGCCCTGGAGAGGTATGCCAATAGAGTGGGTGGTGTTTTTAAAAACTTGGCCTGTGGACAAAGGACATCTTTTCACAAACAAGCTAGTTATAAGGTTCTGTGCTTTGCTTATGTGGCATATGCCATTACAGCAGTTTAAAAGGAGTGTTCAGAGTGATCACAGACACTTTTGCCTTCAAGGTGCTTTCCCAGCTTACAATAATTAGCACCCTCACCTTTGGGGGGTGGCATTGAGGTATGTGTGTGTAGGGGGGTGTGAATCAGGAATCAGGCTCTGCCTTGTCTAAAAGTGACCACAGGCTTCAGTGGTTGTGACTGTCTTCTGCGTTCCAAGACAGGCTGGTGGGAGATAGTGAACTGAATAGCTTTTGCATGGCCTGCTAGCTGTAAAAATTGCTCCCAAATCAATTACAGAGTCATTAAAAGAAATTTGCAAAATGAAGAAAAATAATCACCTATAATCCCTCTGTCTTAACCCAACTACAATGGTTTAATTTATCTTTTTCCTATGCATTATCAAATGTAAATACATATTCATATTATTTTACCCATTGTCCAAAACCCAAGAGGTTGACTGGGTTGAAGCTGCTTGTCCTGCTGTTACTTTTTTGTCTTCTTTGTGTCCCCTGGCTTGGAATAGGCCCCCCTCCCCTCCTTTTTTTTTTTTTTTTTTGTTTTGTTTTGTTTTGTTTGTTTCCTGAAAGATCCACTAACATTAGGTTATCATGCACAATAAATTTTATCTTTGGTTTCTGAATATACAAAGAAGATTATAACAGCACAGAACTGGAATCAATCTTAAGGTAAACATTCAACATCTTTAAGTTTCTGAGTCATAAAGATTCTGTCCCTGGTCAGCTCTCTAATGCTTGCCCTCTGCTTCCTCCAAATTCTTCCTCACATCTCCTTTCCTTTAGGATCCTAACAATCTCTTGGAGTTTTATTCTACTGAGGGCTGAATTCTTTTTTGTCAGTCTTCCCCACTCTCCTCCCTGAAAGCCCACAGAGAGCAGGCTGTCAATGGCTGGGATAAATTAATTTGTTCCCTGGGGCGAGGTGGAACAGTACGGAGCTGCTTGTCAGTCCAGCACATGACCTGGCTGTGGGAGGCCTGTGCTCTTCAAACCAGTGTGGCTAAGCAGTGTAGGATCTTGAAATAACCATAGTCATATTTTTCGAAGAGGAAGAAAAAAAACCCTCAGATTTTTAGATAATACAGAGTCATTAAAAGAAATTTTCAAAATGGAGAAAAATTTCTCACATTTTAAATAGTACTCAGCAGGATTGGGGGTGTGTGGTTTAGTGGTAGAGCGCTTGCCTATTGTGAGGAAGGACCTAGTGTAGATTCCCAGCATTACACACACACAMAMAAAAATAAATGAGTAAATAAATAATAGTACTCAGCAAATAAACCAGGGGCTTACTTTCATAGGACATAAAAACACATACACATGTACCCTCCCTCTGTATTTTTTTAGTTGGGCAAGATGAAGTGATGGAAAGATTAAACATTCAGACATTGTTGACTGAGACCAGGCTGAAGTTTCCTCACTCTGGACTTTTTAATCTATTTAGATTGCCCACTCCTGGGGCCTTCTGTAACCTGTGCCTTTTTCTGCTCCAGGAAAAGGAGTTTTGTTGTGTGCAGACAATATGAAAATGAGTGGCCCAATTTTTACCTCCTGTTTAAGGAGGTCCATGAGGAGGTAAAAATTTGTTTCTATTAAACAAAGTCCCTTAAGGGATTTSTGTAAATAAAGAGCCACCTGCTCATGAGGTGATGCCTACCTTCCCCTTCCTTTCTTCTTGGAAAGGGAAGGAATTGAGTCTTTTTCTTCAAGTTGCAAGAGGAAATTCTCTGTGCATCCTGGAAGTGAGCTCAAGAGATTCCCAGGGGAGGAAATTGGCCCTGAATGTTGACAGATGCAGCTGGTTGTTCTCGGTTCTTGGCCTCATGATCTTAGACCAGAATCAAACTTCCCAACACTTTTTTTGTGGCCCTCAGCACCTCAGGTTTGGTAGTGACTCACATGGCATCTGTGAGTGTCCACTGGCTCTGCTTGCAGGAGGCCTGATACTTCACAGGCAAGGTGGATAGCTGGAACAGGAAAAAGCAGGCATAGAATATTCCAGCGATGGGCCATCTGGACAGAGGAAAAAGTCCAGGGCAAAGACACCTCAGATAGGTCTGAGTCAACACTGCCTGACTGTGTAATCCTTCTTTTCCTTTTGCCCAGTTACAATAGGTTACTAAAACAATGAACCAAACAATGTTGCAGTTCCCTCTCTATCACCCAGGACAAGATGAGCTAGTGCCTGAGAAAGCTGCTGATAAGTGCTATTCAAATATTGATTTGCACTGTGGGCAATGTGGCTTTGACTGAAAAGAGCCTTCCTGGAACACCTGTCAGGTGTGTGTGATGAGGGACAGGATGGAGGGTACAGGTTGGTAGATCACATTTCTGTTATTCTTTCCTTTTCCCCAAAGATAGGGAACACATTCTACAGAAACCATAAGAAACACAGAAGAATTGGAATTTTCAGCTTAGAAGAAAACCAAACCAAACCATAAATCTCTCTATAAGGAAAGGAAATATTAAATTAGAAATACCAGTCTCAGTTTAACCATTTTCATTCCATTGCTTCAGATGTGGGATAAAATAATAAAAACCTAATCTGAGCAACAAATATACCACCTACAGTAAACTTTGAATTAATTATTGTGTGTATGTGTGTTTTGGTATTGTGTTGCCATGCAGAGGATCCTGCCCAGGGGCTCAGGCATGCCAGATAAATAATCTACCACTGAGCTACATCCCCATCCCCAGCCCTTAGAGGGCTTTTTTTGGTGGGGGTGGGGAGGAGAGGTGTTGCTGGGGATCGAACCCAGGGCCATGTGCATGCGAGACAAGAACTCTACCAACTGAACCATAACCCCAGCCCCAGGGGACCTTTTTTTTTTTTT